CCCCCCCCCCCCCCCCCCCCCCCCAGTGAGGGGCCCCCCGGAATTGAAAAATAACCTGGGATTTCCAGGGTACCTACCGCTGAACCCTGTAACCGGTTATAACCGGTAGTACCCCGTTATCGACATCACTGTGAAAAACCCACCATCGCCACTCTGAACCGGTAGAAGCTGTAACATACCATGGCACTGACACTGCATGCAGCGAACATTAGGGGCTATGCCCATTGGTTGACGGAAAGAGGCGGCGCGCATCGCCTCACATGCAGCAGCCCGGTACACGGGGAGCCTCCTACTACTCCGCAAGAAGAAAAACGATTGCCGTTCGTTGACGTTCGATGTTGTTGGGACCCTAACGGCGTAATGCGACAGAGAGAGAGAGAGAGAGATGTAGACTAAAGGAAGAGAGACTCGAGAAGACAAGGCATGAACTGTCGAGAAGACACTCACTCTCATCCTTCTGGCACACCGTGTAACGAACGGCGACATCCGATGTGCGCTCAGCAACAACAAACACAACAAAAGAAAAGAGTGGTCGTTTCCGAATTGTGGAGACTTTCATTTTTTCTGGTATGAAGTGGCAACAAATAAGAACACGACTATCTGTGTAGACTAGACTAGAAGCACGACGGACGACCTATTATCTCAATGCGCTTGCCGTCGCCACAGATGCGGACCGCTACCGCTACACGAACGAGCAGACTGTTGCCAAACCTGACAACGATAACCTTACGACCAGCACATTCCGAGCATTTCACAGTAGCAGCCGCATTTTCCGAACTGTGGAGACAATTGGTGAAGACTTCCTCTATTTTTGTGGTATGAAGGGGCAACAAAGAAGAACACGAGTATCTGTGTAACTATAGATTGTCGTGGGCTTTGCCACGACTGCTTCCCCAATTGTTAATACCATCGGCGATTCTGCACCCCATTCGTGGGGCCTCATGGCGATTTGGCAACAAAAGGCATTCAAACAGCAAGCCAAACTCTGCCAAACGACTGGCGAGACTTTTAGTCTAAAATGCTAAAAAAAACAAAGAATACACAGACAGATGCAGAGATAAAAAGACAAGTAGTGAAATCGCGAAGACGAATACGTGTAGGAACAACATTCATTGACTAGTGCTTGGTCTTCTAGTTTGAACCGTTGAATTTGGCCTGCTTGGCCTCGCGCTTCTTAATAGCCTCAGGCTGGCATCCCATGAGCTTGTCCGTCCGGCCTTGCACGAAGCAAGGCTTGCAAACCTTCTGAAAAACGGAGGAAAGAGGATTTGGGAAGAAAAGTGGCGGGAAAAAGGAGATAAAAGGAAGACGTAAAGCGAAGAAAGACTGTTGTAAGCAGGATACGAAAGGAAAAAAAGAAAAGAGCGGAATCGACGAAAAAGAAGCACCATTGAAAGTAAAGGCATTGAAAGGAGAGCTCTGAAAGGAAGCACGCAACGAAGTAGGAGAAAAGGATACAAAAACAAATCTAACCATAAATACTCAACTACTGTCGAACGTAGCAGGAAGTTGAAAAGAAGGCTGCATAGAATGGGAAGAAAGTGAGATGAAACTGACCTTGTCGCTGTCGTCGGAGTCTACGGGGTTTAACTCTCCACACTTTCCTTTTTCGCAAGTCTTGGGCTTGCAGTCCGTGTAGTTCACGTGGTTATACAACCTCTTCTTCCCCTCCCAACGCCCCCAGAAGAGGGTGTCGGGCTCGAAGTTGACCATGCAAGATTCGCAAGTCATGATTTTGCCGTTGGGTTCTTCGCCTTTCTGAGCCGTCGCTTGGACGAAGTGGAAACACGGAGCGGGACACCTACGAAACGAGTAGACGAGGACGTGAAAGGAAAAAAGTCAGGAACACACATACATGTGAAGAAAGGAGGAGGGTGCAGGTAAGGTCTGATCGGCTTAAAGTAAGCATGAAGCCACATAGCACGACGCAAATGTTACACAAGTTGAAGATGTGGTAAAGATTGTTTCAAAAATACCATATAAGCACCAGGAAAGCACGAGAAATTGTCACGTCGTCGGACTTTAATATGTACAAAATGAACAAAACGTTGAAACAATCACAAACACGAAGAGGAACAACACGCCAGCAGAGGTGGACGTCACGAAAAGAGTATCATCGACAAGGATAGGCTAATGTAAATGGATATCTAGGAATGCAAGGGCGTAGAAGAGGACAACCATACCCGAACAGGGAGACAAGACAGGCAGGAACACTCACATCTTGGAATACTGAGATTCGAGGAAGCAGGAGCTAGGGCCAGCGCAGAGGATGCAGGCGTCAGCAGTCCCAGAAATATCCCACGACAAGATCTGCTTGAAGACGGTGTTGGTGACATCGGGGGCGGCGGCAGACTTTGCGGCAAGGCGCTTCTTGGAAGCAAGAAGCCTGTCCAGAGTTGGTTTCTTTTGGGCTGGTGTCTGGCTGTTGAGGCCCGCTTGGTCGGCAGCCGACAAAGTGTCATATAGTTATTGTTGAGCAGCGGTGAGAGCCATGGTGGTCGAGAGGTACGGTGTAGAAGAGGTAGATATGGGGCAGTGGGTGAAAAATGAGATGTAGGGCCAGCTGACGAAAGAAAAAAACAAAACAAAAAATGTAACCGAAAGAATTGCACCGCTTAAGATGTGCAGGTATGCGGGCCAGAGCACGCCGGAAATGCGGCGCAATAATTGGAAGAACCACCTTGATGGGTGAAGGATTACTGAGGGCAGGAAGTGAGGGAGAAAGCGTAGGACGTAGCACTTAAACTCGAAACGGAACAGTGTGCCAAGTGCAATGGTACTCGGGAAAGCGTCGCCCGGTTAAAATTATAGAAAAAAAAAGTGAAGGTACCCCTCATCATTCGTTGCGCGGATCCGGCGATGGAGCCGACCTTAAGCTGCTCCAAGGCGAAAACCATTCCACTGGTTCTTACAGGACTGGCGGCTGCTAACTCTACCCAAGTAGAATCAGCAAGTTCCTCGGGCAAGTCTCCGACCCAGAGGCCGTTGGCCAAGGTAGCGGAAGGCATTGTTTTTTTCTTCAAATCTCGAAGACAATCTTTGCATATTCGAAGCTGATGAGGTTCCTCGGTTTCAAAACCTTCCCTCGCCAGTACAAGCCCATCTAGACAGTTTGTACTGTCGCCGGGCTGTCGCCGGGATAGTCAACAAATGTTGCCATAATCTCAGGATGTGAAGTGAGATTGTCGCCCGCGCGAAGGACGGAAGAATTAGGCACATTTTGAGCCGACACCCTTGAAATGTCGACCCGACGACAAAAACAGTCACAAATAGCACCAGGAGATGCTAGGGAAAGAATTGCGGCCGGCAACAAATGCGACAAGAATGATTTGCGCGCTGTGAGCTGTGAAATTGAAGGCTTATATATTTGAACGTGCACAGTTCTTGTGGGATAAATTAAACGAAAACTGCAAGTTCAAGCACCCAATAAGATACAAGACATTTCAAAAGAACTTGACAAACGCCAGATTTTGAATGTAATGAAGTCTTGCAAATGGACTTGTAGATAGCCGATCAATGGACTCTTCACCTGGGTATGCTGTCGGCGATATATTGATCATAGTCGAATATGGACTTCAACAACATGGACTTGTCGTGAACGCCATCCGTCAAGGCGGGTCGGTCTTGGCCGTCCAACATTCCTTCAGGATGATCAAAAGCTGCGACAGGAGGTTTGGCAACTGTCGGAACATAAGAAACCCTGCGAATTGAACCGATAAGAGATTATTAGGAATTATTGTTTAGCGTACAAGTTTAAGTTGACAGGGACGAATATTTTACGAAGTTGAACACACACTGTGGATAGGAGTATTCAATGGGACGTAATTGGAAATGGACTGGCACTCGAGTCTTTGTTTCGCCCTCCTACGGGATATAGCAGCTTCCGCGTCCGATTGCCAACTTTTCGCCGCAGCAGCGTCTGCGGCTTTACGTTTAAGGTTCAGGCGTCGCTGATGCTGTTGCGTTTTCTCAGCCTCAATTGAACGAAGCCTCTCGGCAGCCGCAGCGACTGTGGCTTTGTCTGAGGCTTTACGCCGCGCGAGGTGCCTGCGTTTATTGCGCTGGTTCGCTCTTGCAGCCTTTATTGAACGGAGCTTCTCCGCGGCGGCAGCGACGTCTGCGGCTGTACGCCTCATGAGATCCTTGCGTTTTCTGCGATATTTCTCTTTTACAGCCTCAATAGAACGACACTAACGGTCGGCGATGTCGCTCAGCACTTTTCCCTGACTTTGGGCAAGACGTGCTGCCTCGGTCTCCGTCTCACCGACAGGCTTACCACATCTGACCGATCTGTGCAAACGAAAGAACTGTGAGAAAACAGTAGATTAGTGTCATGAGCATTGGAAGCACGAGACCTCGTTGGGATGGATAACGTAATTCAATCTGCTAAAAGAGAGCATTTGAGCACGCACCTTATCTCGTTTAGCTTGGTTCGTGCGTGGGTCGCTGCCGCCGTGGCTTTCTTCGCTTCCGCTGCTGCCTTACTGCTGGCTGCTTTCGCATTCAAGGTATAATAGCGGCTTTGGCAGCTTCGGGCGCCGCTTGAGTTTTTTCGTAATTTCTTGAGCGCGTCTGACGGCGGCGATTGCGCACCTTCTGCGTCTGCGACCCTGGCGGCGACGTCTTCGACGCTCGAGCGTGCTGTGTCTGCGAGGAGTGCTGCGCGTGCCTCCTTCGATACTTCCCGATCTGCCCCCTGTTTCCATATCCATGCCTCAATGATCGACTCTCTTCTGTTCGCGGCTTTGGTGAGGAGTTGTTGTGTCCTTAGCGCCTTCTGAGCAGCTTTCGCAGCGACGGCCTCTGCTTTATTTAGCGGCTATGGCCGCTGTTCGGGCGGCCGTGAATGCGCCCTGAATATCTAAATCTGCTTCTTTCTCTCGCTTCTCTCGCGCGGCTTTCGCAAGTCTTTCGTCATGAGCGCGGTTAGCTTGGATTTGAGCATCGTGCCTTGCGGCCCTAGCTTCTACTAATGCTCGTTGCGCGAATCGAGCTCTTTCGTCTTCTGCACAGGATGACTGTAGAATCCGATTACTAACGATTTCAGGTAGAAGATGGAACGGGACAGCGCCATCGTCGTTGCTGGTAGAGATCCCATCTCTTTCATCACTGGAGAAAAAACTTCTAGATGATGACCTATCCTTTCGCTTTTTCCCCTTAGGGCCGTTTTAATCGATGTCCAAAAATCCAAATTTTGTACAAATCTCCAAAAAAGCTCCAAAAATTTGGAACCCACCGTTCCAAATTTTTGACATAAATTTGGAACGAAGTCGGGCCCGAAAATTTGGAGCCACTAGCTTCCAAATTTTGGAAGCCTTTTTGGAGCACTTTCCAAATCACCCTTACAGACGCACGCGCGGGCTGCGACGGCTGCAACACGAGTGCCCCTCACCAGCGACGTCTACAACACGAGTGCCCCTTACCATAGGAAGCCAGCTAGGGTTGTGTTTGGGGCATGGGCGACCGCGTAGAAAGCGCGGCGCGGCTACAGAATGTAGTGGCTCCCTTCGCCCACGGGCACGCGCTCGGCCAACACACACCCGGGATGTCCTCGACAAGCTCAAAGCAATAGCGGCGATTGTGCTGGTGCTGACTGTCGCCACATCGACTGTCGTTCAGCGCCTAACACCCAAGACGCGGCAACGTATCCACGAGCCGTGACGGCTGGTTTGGGACGAGCACTTAGAAGATGTGAGGCGCAGGAAGCTGTTCCGACGCATGTACAGGATGGAGGAGCACAGCTTCGACAAGCTCGCGGAACTTTTACGACCCATCCTCGAGCGCAACGACTTCTACGCAAGTAAGAGATATACCCACACAGGGTGCGTCCGCGCGTGAGGAAGAGCGAGTAGGGTTAGGTTTCGTCAGGGTTGTCTTGCCGTCGCGAACACAGCCGCCGGTTTGCACTTGTATTTGCTGCTCACCGCTGATGTCCGAAAGATGAATTGGCACCGCCAGGGACATCAGCAGCGCAGGAGACGCCTTGGAGATGGCATGTGCGCTGATGTCCGTCCGGCGATGCGCCTGACAAGTGCTTGGGCTTCGAATTTACCGGTACATCCATGCTTGTATTCTTGTTGGTCGCGTGGTGCAGGGTTGCGCGCGAGCAGTGGAGCTGTGCCGGTGAAAATTCGGCTGGCAGTTGCGCTGTGCATGTTCGAGGGGCGTCATACATCGATGTCGGCTTGCTGTTCGGCATTTCGAAGGAGTCCGTCTTCCACATCATGTGGCAAGTGGTGGACGCCATCAACAACACGCCGACGGTGGGGTCGTTCTTTTTTCCCCAGACACCAGAGGAGTGCTCCCGGTATGCGAAGGAGTGGGAGGTCGGTGCATGTTTGTTTGTATCATAGGTGTTGTACTTTAGTCGAACATCGTATGTGGTCTCCCATGCACTTCTACTATTGCGGGAAGGGGATCTCTGGCATTTTCCCCTGCATCCCCTCACTCAGCAACATGGAAGCGAACGTGTTGTGGAGTCCAAGAACGACTCTTACAGAGTGGGCGCCTGTGTGTTGCATGACATTTCGTAAATACCCAGTCCTACACTCAAAATTCCGGACAACAGCACGCAAAATTCAACAGGTTACTACTGCCTACCTCCGGCCCCGTACGGCGGTAGACTAGTGCTGTAGATTTTTTTCACCCTCCCAATAGGTTGACATCAGACCCATAAACGTGGTCAAAACGCGCGCGTCCACCCTTACGTTGGGAAGGTCAGCAACATTTTG